CTCACCGTGTTCCGGCCACACTGGGTTTGCCCCGCTCACGGGTGCTTTCCCCGTCTACACTGCTCAGGCTCCCGGCTGCTCTATATGGAGCGGGCCCTGCGTTGAGTGCGGTTCCAGTTTTCGGGTACTCCACAAAAGCGCAGATTAGGTTGCGCCTGCGTTTTGTGCCTTCCCCGGCCTGAGCGGTTCAGGCAGCCAGAAGCTTGGGCGTACTCTCCCCGGATGTGGCACGCCTTTTCCCTCCGCGGCCCAGAAGCTTGGGCGTACTCTCCCCGGGTGCAGCACGCCTTTTCCCTCCGAGTCGAGCGGCCCAGGCAGCCAGAGGCTTGGGCATACTCTCCCCGGATGCGGCGCGCCTTTTCCCTCCGCGTCGAGCGGCTCAGGCAGCCAGAGGCTTGGGCGCAATCTTCCCGGGTACGGCACGCTTTTTCCCTCCGCGGCCCCAGCGCGCGCCGCCAGTCGGGTCTCAGGAAGTCTGTAGATAGGAACCGGGGCCTGTTTGCCATGTGGGAGGGGGTGGCTTCTCAGGGGCTGAGTTTGCCCTTTTCCCCTCCCCCCTGCCTCCTACCTCCAGCGGGAATGGGCCGGCTCTTCTCTGGAGTTTCTCAGTCCCTTTGTTTTGCGAACCGCCAGCAGGGTGTTCAGGCTGGTTAATTTTGACCCTTGCTATTCCACAGTTTAAAAAAGCTCCCTCCGATTGCTCTCAGGGTCTTCGGGCTGGTCCTTACCCTAAGCAGTGCTGCCCGCTCCTCTCCGTTCCGCCCCCGCTTGTTCCAATGAGTCAGTTCTTTGCATCAGGTGGCCAAAGTATTGGAGCTTCAGCTTCAGCATCAGTCCCTCTAATGAATATTCAGGACTGATTTCTGTTAGGATGGACTGGTTGGATCTCCTTGCAGTCCGAGACTCTCAAGAGGCTTCTCCAACACCACAGTGCAGAAGCATCAATTCTTCATCAATAAGCTTTCTTTATAGTCCAATTCTCACATCCATACATGACTACTGGAAAAAACATAGCTTTGACTAGATGGACCTTTGCTGGCAAAGTAATGTCTCTGCTTTTTAATATGCTGTCTAGGTTAGTCATAACTTTTCTTCCAAGGAGTAAGCATCTTTTAATTTCATGGCTGAAGTCATCATCTGCAGTGATTTTGGAGCCCCCCCCAAATAAACTCTGTCACTGTTTTCATTGTTTCCCCATCTATTTTCCATGAAGTGATGGGACCAGATGCCATGATCTTAGTTTTCTGATTGTTGAGTTTTAAACCAACTTTTTCACTATCCTCTTTCACTTTCATCAAGTGACTCCTTAGTTCTTCGCTTTCTGCTATTCTGCTATAAGGGTGGTGTCATCTGCATATCTGATGTTATTGATATTTCTCCTGGCAATCTTGATTCCAGCTTGTGCTTCATCCAGCCCAGAGTTTCTCATGATGTACTCTGCATATAAGTTAAATAAGCAGGGTGACAATATACAGCCTTGAGGTAGTCCTTTCCGGACTTGGAACCAGTCTGTTGTTCCTTGTCTTTTCTAACTGTTGCTTCTTGACCTGTATACAGATTTCTCAGGAGGCAGGTCAGGTGGTCCTATCTCTTGAAGAATTTTCCAGTTTGTTGTGATCCACACAGTCAAAGGCTTTGACGTAGTCAATAAAGATGTAGATGTTTTTCTGGAACTCTTGCTTTTTCAATGATCCAATGGGTGTTGGCAATTTGATCTCTGGTTCCTTTGTCTTTTCTAAATCCAGCTTGAACATCTGGAAGTTCACGGTTCATGTATTGTTGAAGCCTGGCTTGGAGAATTTTGAGCATTACTTTGCTAGCATGTGAGATGAGTGCAATCGTGCAGTAGTTTGAACATTCTTTGGCATTGCCTTTCTTTGGGATTGGAATGAAAACTGACCTTTTCCAGTCATGTGGCCACTGCTCAGTTTTCCAAATTTGCTGGCATATTGAGCACAACATCATCTTTTAGGATTTGAAGTAGCTCAACTGGAATTCCATCACCTCCACTAGCTTTGTTCGTAGTGATGCTTCCTAAGGCCCACTTGACTTCGCATTCCAGGATGTCTGGCTCTAGGTGAGTGATCACACCATGATGATTATCTGGGTCGTGAAGATCTTTTTTGTATAGTTCTTCTTTGTATTCTTGCCACGTCTTCTTAATATCTTCTGCTTCTGTTAGGTCCATAGCATTTCTGTCCTTTATTGTGCCCATCTTGTGTGCATGAAATGTTCCCTTGGTATCTCTAGTTTTCTTGAAGAGATCTATAGTCTTTCCCATTCCATTGTTTTCCTCTATTTCTTTGCATTGATCACTGAGGAAGGCTTTCTTATCTCTCCTTGCTTTCTTTGGAACTCTGCATTCAGATGAGTATATCTTTTCTTTTCTCCTTTGCCTTTCACTTCTCTTCTTTTCTCAGCTATTTGTAAGGCCTCCTCAGACAACCATTTTCTTTTTTTGCATTTCTTTTTCTTGGGGATGGTCTTGATCACTCCTTCCTGTACAATGTCATGAAGTAAACAGGCAAAGGAGTGAAAGAGGAATGAAAGGGCGACCAGGAAATATAATTATTTGAGAAGGTAATGGTGAAACAAAAACTATGTAAATCTCAAATGCATTGTAGAGAAATATTAATGTTTAGCAGCTTTACCTGTAGATTTCTTCTTCCTAGTGTTTGTCACAATTTGAGCTAAGGTTTTCTCGACTTACCACAGGAGGCATCTCAAAATATTAGGGTAAACAAAATGAATGCCTTGTTTGGGTCCTTTAGGCTACTTGAGGTAGTAGACTGTCTTTTTTCCCACAACTGTATTTTTGGTTGTGCTGGGTCTTCGTTGCTGCGCGCACTGCTCTGTGTCTGCAGTGTGCAGGTTTACTGTAGTGGCCCCTCTTGTCTCAGAGCACAGGATACAGGGCACGCGGGCTTCAGCGGTTGCCACTCCCAGGCCCCAGAGCGCAGGCTCAGCAGCTGCTGCTCATGGACTTAGCTGCTCTGTGGCATGCAGGGGTCGGACTCGTTTCTCCTGCACTGGGAGCAGATTTAAAAAAAAAACCACTGAATCACCAGGGAAACCCTAAACTGTCTTTCTTGTTTGAGTAGTTTTGAGTTTTCTGTTACCTGAAACTCAAACATCTTTTGTAATATAGTTTATTAGTCTCATTTTAAGTACAAAGAAACTGGATGAGTCAGCAAGACAATGGCAAAGGCAAGATTCAAAATTAGGTTCTCTTAGACTAAAAATCCAATTATTCTACACTAATATGTTAGTAAAAGAGGGGTGAGTCTTTGAGAAGGAAGTGGACCAAAAATGCCGAGAAAGTTACATATGTTGTGGAATATATTCTGATGAGTTATTTAAAGATGCTACACTGCTGACTTTAAGGATGAAGGGGCCACCAGCCAAGGAATCAGTGCAAGTGATTTCTAGAAATTGAAATTTTATACCATAAGACATAATAAATGCAGAAGGAATAAAAATTTAATTGTTAAAAATCATAAAAGTACTAGAATAAAATATAGGAGAACTTTTTTCATAATCTTGGGCATGAGGAAGGTCTTTCTTAGCATGACAGTTGATCCAAGAAGTATGAAAGAAAATAGAATACATAGAAAGTTTAAAATTCTATATAGCCAAATATACCATAAGCAAAACTAAGAGAAATAACAAACTAACAAAATACCAAAGAATTAATATGTATAATACATAGACTTGATCCTGTAAATCAATACAAAAATGCAGCCCGATTAAAAATGGGCAAAATATACAAGTAAGCAATTTGAAGAAGACAAGACATCAATAAATGTATAAAAAGATCATTAATCTCCCTATCAACAGGATATTTTTAGTTAGATTAGAAATGTTAAAAATAATAAGACTAATACTGAGTATTTGTGAACGACATGGAGGAACAAAGAAATAGGCACTCATACATTTTCAGGAGTCATGTAAATTGGTTTATCCTTTTCTGAGGATTATTTAGCAATAACTATCACAATTTTAAATGTGGACATTCTGTGATCCCATAAGCTTACTTCTAGGAATTCATCTTATGGGGATAATTTGCATAAGTGTTAAATAACATATGTCCAGTGATGAAAAAGTAAATAAAACAAATATCCAATAACAGAGGTTGGTTAAATAAATTCAAGAAACTCTAGCATGAAATATTATGCAGCTGTTAAAAATGGCAAATGATGACACAGATATATACACATGTATATATAATATTTTTGTACAACATGTACTATATTTTTTTGCATTGTCATGGGAAAATATTCCTATTATATCAAGTTAAAAAATTGTTTCTAAAATCACATATCTGTGATTATACCAATAAATATTTTATGTGTGCCATACCATGCACAGTCACTTCAGTTGGGTCTCTTTACCACTCCATGGACTGAAGCCCACCAGGCTCCTCTGTCTGTGGTATTTTCCCAGCAAGAATACTGGAATGGGTTGCTATGCGCTCCTCCAAGGGATCTTCCCAACCCAGGAACCCACTCCAGTATTGCCTGGAAAATTCCATCAGAGGAGCCTGGTGGCCTATAGTCCAAGAGGTTGCAAAGAGTTGGACATGACACTTGACTCTTGACTCTTGACCTGACTCATGACTTGGACATGAATGACTAACATTTTCAGTTTTCATATACTTCATAAGAACAGAAAGGGAGAAACAGCAGAAAATTGAGAGACCTTATTAAAGATCCCAGCTGAAGATGCATCTCATTTAGACCACCCCATACCTACCACACCACCTGGAGACACTATAAGGTTGAGAAATAGGGGGGAAGCCACGGTTTTAGGGTGAAGCCCTTTAAATGATCAGAAGCTGTCCCAGCTGGTGATAAATGGTGCCATCCTTCCAGGAAAATAAAGGAAGCAACTCTTTTGATACATAGTGTTAGGGCTCCTCTCTTGGAGGAAGTTACAACTGCTGATGAAGGCTGAATGGAATCCAACAGCAGAATCACCAGTCTGTTTCACTCGCAGGCTCTCTAGTCAGCATGAGTTCTCTGATCAGCAAGCTGCGTGCTCCAAGAAATGGCTTTCTCAAAATCACAGCAGACATAGCCACCATGCATAGTATGAAGTCTCTGGTGTTCTGCCAGCTGTGGTCCCCAGTTGAAGTCCTCTCCACATTTGTTACATGCAGAGTGCTTGCCACCCCTGTGAACTTTCTGGTGTTGAATGAGGTGTGAGATCTGGGTATATGTTTTCCCACAGTTCTTACACTTGTAGGGCTTCTCCCCAGTGTGAATCCTTTGGTGTTGAATAAGGTGGATTCTCTGGTTGAAGGCTTTCCCGCATTCCTTACAGGCATAGGGCTTCTCACCTGTGTGAATCCTCTGGTGTTGAGTGAGGGATGAGCTGTGACTGAATGTTTTCCCACACTCCTTACACTTATAGGGTTTCTTGCCCGTGTGGATCTTCTGATGCTCAATAAGATGGGTGCTCCGGCTAAAGGCTTTCCCACACTCACAGCACTCATAAGGTTTCTCTCCCGTGTGAGTCCTCTGGTGCTGAATGAGATGGGAGATCTGGGTGTATGCCTTCCTGCAAACTTTACACTCATAGGGCTTCTCCCCAGTGTGAATTCGCTGGTGGCGTGTAAGTGAGGAGTTCTGGCTGAAGGTTTTCCCGCATTTGTTACACTTGTAGGGCTTTTCACCAGTGTGAATTGTCTGGTGTTGAATAAAGGAAGAGGTGTGACCGAAAGCCTTCCCACAGTCATTACAGACATAGGGTTTCTCCCCTATGTGAATACTCTGGTGCCTCATGAGGTGGGAGATCTGGGTGTAAGCCTTCCCGCAATCGTGACACTCATAGGGCTTCTCACCAGTATGAATTCTCTGATGCTGAATCAGCGACGAACTGTGGCTGAAGGCCTTGCCACACTCGGGGCACTCATAAGGTTTCTCTCCAGTGTGAACTCGCTGGTGCTGCGTCAGCGACGAGCTGTGACTGAAAGTCTTCCCGCACTCATTACACTTGTAGGGTTTCTCTCCGGTGTGGATTGTCTGGTGCTGAGTCAGGGAGGAGGTGTGACAGAAAGCCTTGCCACACTCGTCACATTTGTAGGGCTTCTCTCCTGTGTGGATTTTCTGGTGGCGGGTGAGGTGGGACACCTGGGAGTAGAACTTTCCACACTGGTGGCATTTATAGGGTTTCTCCCCCGTGTGGCATCGCTGGTGCTTGATGAGGGAGGAACTCTGGGTGAAGGCTTTCCCACACTCCTTGCATTTGTAGGGTTTTTCTCCAGTGTGGATCCTCTGGTGCTCAGTGAGTGATGAGCTCTGGGTAAAGGTCTTGCCACACTCGTTGCAGGCATAGGGCTTCTCTCCCGTGTGGATGATGTGGTGCTGGATGAAATACGAGCTGTTGCTGAATGCCTTCCCGCAATCATTACACTTGTAGGGCTTCTCTCCAGTGTGAATTCTCTGGTGTATAATGTAGTCAGAATGGTAGATGAAGGCTTTCCCACATTCCATGCATTTGAATGGTTTCTTCTTGACAAAGGTCCTTTGGCATTTGAGGCTCTTTCTTGACCTGGTCCACTTCTGAGGCCTCTCTCCCCCAAGCACTCTTTGCTTCCTGATGAAGGCTGAGGTCCTCTTGAAGCTTCTCCTAAGCTCGTTGCAGTCAAGGCCCCTCTCCTCATCAGTATCTTCCTTGGGAGTAGTGAACAACCACCTCAAACACCTCTCCTGCTTGCCCTGGTCTTCCAGCTGACAGCCACACATCCAGGACTCTCCCAGCTTGGCGTCTCCAAGCACTGCCCTTAAAATTCCCTCCATCTTTGCCATTGGGGAAGCCACCTCTTCAGAAATACTCTTTTTTGGAAGGATCTCCTGATTAGTTGCAGAGCTTGTCTCCAAGTCTGAAAGAAATGGAAAATATCAACTTCATCTGTCCCAGGACAAAAGAAGCTGATTATTTAGATATGGCATTGTAATCTCAAAAAGATTTCAAAGTTCATATTGCTAGTTCAAAAGGCATGAGGTAGACTCATGTTGTGACACAGAAGGATGGACTCAGTATATTCTAAGCACACAAAAAATTGAGTGGCAAAGCAGTTTATGTGCACAGTGGTTTCTTAGCCATAATGTGTAACACATTTTCACAAAATCAATAAGAAAAAGATAAATAGTCTAATGAAATAGTGAAAGCAGGAATGTGAATAGACATTCAGTAGAAGAAAAACAAGTGGCTGATAAATACGTAAAAAGATGCTCAACATTAGTAGTAGTCTAAAAAGTCAAGTTACTCAGATGCCATTTGATACTTTTAGATTGGAAAATATTAAAAAATATTCAGTGTTGGCAAACGAGGATGGTAGGAGCATTCTCATACCATTGCTGGTGGGCGTGTGCAGGGAGAGAGTTAACACAGAAGGTCCACTTTACTCAGTTTTTATTTCTCTCTGTAACCATGGCAATGACACTTGGCTAAATTCTGAGCACTAAACTCCTGGGATGTTTACATAGCTACAGGTTAATTATCTTTTTCTGTGTGCTTGAAACCATGGGTCAAAATGTAGTAGGCTATCAGCACTGTTTACTATAATTGGAGGATTCATGACGTCCATCTGGTGCCTGGTTTGTGGTCCTCACCATGGCCGGTTATGTAGCAGATAATATATGCTAATGTTGGGCTTCCCAGGTGGTGCTAGTGGTAAAGAACACACCTGCCAATGCAAGAGTTGTAAGAGACACGGGTTTGATCCCTGGGTTGGGAAGATTCCCTGGAGGAGGGCACAACAACCCACTCCAATATTCTTGCCTGGAGAATCCCATGGACAGGAGACTGCCAGGCTACAGTCCATAGGGTTGCAAAGAATCAGACGTGGACTGAAGCAACTTAGCATGCACACATATAGGGTAGAGCATGTGTTAGAGCATCTTTTCATGTGCTTGTTGAACATTTGGGTGTCTTTGAAGAAAATGGCTATTGAGATCCTTGGCTCACTTTTTTTCTTGTATTTATTTATTTGGCTGCACTGGGTCTTAGCTGAAGCACTCAGGATCTTTAACTGTAGCATGCAAACTCTTAGTTGCAGCACGTGAGATCTAGTTTCCTGATCAAGGAGGGAAACTAGCCCACGCACTGGGAGTGTGGAGTCTTAGCCACTGGACCACCAGGGAAGCCACCTTATTTTTAACGAGATTGTCTTTTTATTATTGAGTTGTATGAATTATCCATCCCTTGCCAGACATACAATTTACAAAGTTTGTCTTGTGTTCTGTGGGTTGCCTTTTCTTTGCAGTGTCTTTGAAGCAAACAATTTTTAAATAGTGATGGTGTCTGATTTACTTTTTCTTTCGTCACTTGTTCCTTTGATGTTATATCTAAGAAACCATTGCCTAATCCAATGACATCAGGATTATTTTCAAAATCCCACATTGCATTTAGTCGTCATATCTCTGGGGGTGAACCCACTACCATCCACTCGTTTGGTGATTTTTCTGGAAGGATTTACATGACTCAACAAGTTGAATATCCAGTTAAAGTTTCTACAGCAAAGTATATAACAAATATGTGTGTGGGTAAAGGGCTTCCCAGGTGGTGGTAGGAGTAAAGAACCTGCCTGGATTGCAGGAGAACTTAGAGACATGGGTTTGACCCCTGGGCCAGGAAGATCCCCTGGAGGAGGGCATGGCAATCCATGCCAGTATTCTTGCCTGGAGACTCCCATGGACACAGGAGCCCAGTAGGCTACAGTCCATGGGGTTGCAAAGAGTGGGACACGACTGAAGCGACTTAGCACGCAAAGGCTAGAGAGATCACATGCAGGCTTCTGAGTCATCCTCTCTGCAAGAGTCACATGGATGTGCTTTTCTCTACTGATGTGAACTTCAAAGACACATGGAGATGTTCTCATCCATGGAAACCCACTTGAGTCTCAAGAGTCCAGAGTTCTCTAACTTAGTCCTGGTAAGAAACGCAGTGAAGTGGGTACTGTCAGTGGCCCACTTTACAGATAAGCACCCAGAGCTTACGTCACTTGCCTACAGTCACATGGCCTGTCAGTGGCAGAGCTCAGATTCAAACTCAGAGAGTCTGGCTCCAGGGCCCACACTCTCACTGCCGCATGAACCAGTGCAGTAAAAGTAGCTCAAGCAAGCAGCTGTGAAAGCACCAAGAAGGGGCAGGTCACTCAGCCTGGAAGTCAGAGGAGGCCTCCTGGAAGAGGTGACCTGTATCCTTGAGGAACACGCAGGTGTTTGCCAGGCAGACTAAGCAGGGAAGGGTGTTCCAGGCAGAGGAACAACATGTGCGAAGACCCAGAGTGGGAACACAGTTCAAGTTCAGGGCGGGACAGGGGCTTTGGTGAGTGAGGTTAGGGCATAGCATATCACCACAGGTGGATGGTGATGAGAGATGAGGCCAGAGACAGAATGGGCTGGACCATGTAGTAAGGCCTCGAGTACCAGGTTTGGGTTAGGACTCAGACTCGGGGCACTGGGGAGTCACAGGGGGTGCTGTAGGCAGGGGAGGGATGGGATCTGGGGCTGTCTGTGAGATGAACCACAGGGTGTAAGACCAGAAGCTGGGAGGCCAGGAAGGAGGCTGGGGGGTGTGGTCCAGGTAAGGTTCACTGAGGCCTGAGCCAGGGCTGTGGGGTGGGGGGGAACTGAGCAAAGAGAGGGGGCAGGAGGGACAGGACTGGAGCCTGATGTGATGAGTGAAGGGGAGGGAGGGGGCAAGTCCTGGTCCCACAACAGGACGGACAGTAATGGAAACAGAGATGCTTCTGTCCCCTCCTCTGATGAGGATGTGGGCTAGTAGGGGCAGAAAGCTGGCTTCTTCCTGTCTCCAAACATGTCAATCCAGGTACCACTTCTGGGTACCACAATGATAACCACTGGAGCCTATTCTGAGCATGGGGTTTCCTGGGTGAGAGGCGCCAGGCTGCCCTCCACATGTTAACTCACTTACTCTTCCCAATTCCAGGTACTATCATTGATCCCATTTTGCAGATGAGGAAACTGAGGTACACAAGGGCTAAATGACTTGCCTGAAGGTCACAGAGCCAGGAAGTAGTGGAGCTTGGATTCAAATGCAGGGCCCAAAGTGACAGCCTGTATATTACATTCCATCACTCTTGAATAACCATCACTGATCACAACAGATGGGGTGGGAAGATGTCTCACACCTGCTAGACACACTTACCCACCTGGACAGGTAACTTGTTGGGTTTCTCTCCTCTCCATCCTGGGCTCTTCCCCTCGCTCCAGACGGGAGATCACATCGGGTTTGGCCCCAGGAAACCCTGCCCCTGGAAAAGACACAAGACTTGGCCATAAATGCCAAGGTTACAGGGAGGCCTTCGGGCTGGGCCCCAGGCCCTGGGTCTACAGAGGAGATGCATATATTGGATGCCTAATGATTGGAAGATCTAATGGCCAACACTAAACTTGATTACTGAGTGCCTACTCCATTCCAGAGAGAGCCTGAACCCCGATGTCACTGTTTAAGCTTCCAGCTCTGCGTTCAAGTTGAATGCAAAACACATACCACATTTCAAAGACTTGACATGGAGAAAAAAGAAAATGATCTCATTAATAATTAATAGGCTATTATGATGTCAACATCGCCCACATGATCATACTTCGGCTAGACTGGGTGCCACAAAACAGCTAACTAAAATCATCTCATCTGACTCTTGTTTTCCCAGGCCTGCTGTCTTTGGGCTTCCCAGCTGGCTCAGTTGTAAAGAATCTTCCTGCCACTGCAGGAGACGTGGGTTTTGATCTGAGTGGGGAAGATCCCTGGAGAAGGAAATGGTGCACCACTCCAGTATTCTTGCCTGGATAATCCCATGGACAGAGGAGCCTGGTGGGCTACAGTCCATGGAGTCACAGAGTCAGACATGATTTAGCAACTAAACAACAAACAACTCCTTTCTTCCTGCAGTGGGGGGAAGTGTTCCCCTCACCAAATTATGCCCCCAGGGACCTCAGCACCTGACCTGATTTGGAACGAGGGGCTTTGCAGATATAACTAATTAAGATGAGGTCCCAATGGATTAGGGTGGACCCTAATTCTAATGACTGGAGTCCTTATAAGAATAGAGACACACAGACACATTGGGAGGGAAAAAGGCCAGGTGAAGATAGAGGCAGAGATTGGGGTAATGCGGGTACAGGGCAAATGAAACATGTTTCATTCTATGAAACAAACAGACTCATAGACATAGAGAACAGATTTGTGGTTGCCAAGGGTTGGGGGGAGGGAAGGAGGGAAGGACTGGGAGTTTGGGATTAGCAGATGCAAACTATTATATACAGGATGGATAAACAACAAGGTCCTATGGTATAGCACAGGGAACTATATTCAACATCCTGTGACAAACCAAAATGGAAAAGAATATGAAAAAGGATATATATATATATGTGTAACTGAGTCACTTTGGTGCATAGCTGAAATTAACATTGTAAATCAACTATATTGCAATAACATTTTTTAAAAAAGAAGCAGAAAGCAGGGGCACTGGCTGAAGGGTCGGTGGGACAGGCAGAAGACTCGGCGCCTGGGTATGCTGGAGATTCTGGGAGAAGCCATTAGAGAGATAGATGCATGGGCCACCCAGCAGGGGCCCAGGAGAGGAGCAGAGAGGACCCCAGTGAATGAATGCCCACAGTTAAGCAGTGGATGGGCATAGAGGCCATGAGAGGAGGGCAGGGGGCAGAGACTCACCCAAAGAGAGAAGGTTCTGGTAGTTCTCCAGCATCACATCTCGATACAGCTCCCTCTGGCCAGGCCCCAGGCGGCCCCACTCCTCCAGGGTGAAGTCCACGGCCACGTCTTTGAAGGTCACTGATTCCTGTAAGGGCAAATATTACATCACAGAGGGGCATGTCTTTCTAGAATCCTGGGGTGGGACAAGTCATGGGTCAAGAGCCTACCACTTGCTCCCTGGCCTGAAACATTCTGACTCGGCAGATTAGGGTGGCAAAAGCCCGAACGAACTTTTTGGCCAATCGTATAGAACACGGTCCCCCATCTTTACCGCCATCTGGTGGAAAGTTATTGTACTACACCAATTATTTCTAGCATGTGACAGTCGACTGCCATCTGCGTGTAAATTGCTTTAATAAATATACCGATGTACGAGGGAGGATATGCAAATCATGCCATTGAGATGAGGTACCCTTGTGCAGTGCGTAACCTACACACCTGAAAATCCTGAGAAACACTTAAAAAACTACCCAGTCATTGTGTGCCAGAGCTATTCCTAAGTCACACTCCATCCTAGACTCCTACGCGGTCCCAACCCCCACTCCTGACTCCAAGAATAAGGCTCAGGGGTGAAGCAAAGCCATCACTACCCACTTTACCTGGTAACCAAAAGGCTGCTGAGCATTAGATGATTGATTTTTAGACCTCATCTAACACTCCACCCAGTTCAGAGCATCCTGAGGCTCACCCCGCACCTCCCAGTTTCAGAGAAGTCCTATCATTGTATCTCTCCCAGTACTGAGAGAGGCAGAAGGTCTTGAGGGCACACACAGAGGCAGGGAGGCCCTCTAGGGCCCACAAAGTTATCTCCGGGAAGAGGGAGCCCAGACTCACCTGGCCCTTGCTTGTCAGGGTCCTGATGGCCATTGCAGGGTCCCAGGAATGCATCTCCAAAAGAAAGGACCAGACCTGAGTCCATAAAGCTACTAGAGGAAAACAGCAGAGAGGGCGTCAGTTCTGGCTTGGACAGACACTCTGCCAAAGACGTCTAGTGACAAAGGGGCCCCTGGTCTCCTAAGAACCAAGGCAAAGGCTTAGGGCAGGCTGCCTGAGGCCTCCATTCTATAACCATCACCATTCACAATCAAGGGGTTCAGCCCACTGCACCCAAAAAACGGCTCTCAGAGAAGCAGCTACAGTTATCCCCAGGTGAGGAACTCTGAGCCCAAGAGGCCAAGGTCATTGTGCAAGGTCACAGAAAGATCAAGTGTTGGAGTGAGAATCAAATCCAGAAGTCTGCTCGCAGAGCTAATTCTTTTTTTACAGATTTGCTGTGTTGGGTCTTAGCTGCATCTTGTGAGATCTTTCACTGTGGCACATGGACTCTTTAGCTGTGACCCAACAGCTCAGTATTTGTGGCGCGCAGGCTTAGTTGCTCCACAGCATGTGAGATTTTAGTTCCCAGACCAGGGATCAAACCCATGTCCCCTCCATTGCAAGATGGATTCTTAACCTCTGGACCGCCAGGGAAATCCCAACAACCCCTCCTTTTTGTCTTATAATTTTTATTTATCTTAAAAAAATTTTTTTTAATATTGGAGTAGAGTTGATTTGCAATGCTGTGTCAATTTCAGGTGTAAAGCAAAGTGATTCAGTTACACATATATATTATATGTTCATTCTTTCTTTTATGGTTATTTTCTCTTACAGGTTATCACAGAATATTGAGTAGACTTCCTTGTGCTCTACTTTAGGCCCTTGTTGGTTATCTATCTTATACACAGAAGTGTATTATAATTTTTTAAATTGTGGCAAAACACATGAAAATACACCATTTTAACCATTTGAATATATACGACTCGGTGGCATTTAATGCAGTCACAATAGTGTGCAACCATCAGAGCTATCTAGTTCCAGGACACTTTCATCATCGTCCTGAAGGGAAACCTTGTGCTATTAACCAGTCACCCTTGAATCTCCCTTCTCCCATGCCAGCCTCCCCCACCCTCCATAATGGCTAATCTTTCTGTCTCAATGCATTTGCCTATTCTGGACATGTCGCATAAATGGAACCATCCATATATGACCTTTTGTGCCTGGCTTCTTTCACTCAGCACAATGTGTTTAAGGCTCATCCATGTTACAGCACACAATCAGTGCTTCATTCCTATTTTATTTTTAATTGGAGGATAATCACAATATTGTGATGGTTTCCCTTTAAAAAATTTTTTTATCTGGACCATTTTAAAAGTCTTTATTGAATTTATTACAGTATTGCTTGTGTTTTATACTTGGTTTTTGGCCCTGAGGCACATGGGATCTCAGCTCCCAGACCCCTGGATTGAACCTGCATCTCCTGCATCGGAAGGTGAAGTCCTAACCACTGGACTGCCTGGGAAGTCCCCCCTCATTCCTTTTAATGGCTGAGTAATATTCCATTGTATGGATGGACCACATTTTGCAGAGCTCCTTTTACCTGTCCCAAAATCCTGCTTCAGGATCCTGGACTCCTGCTTAAGATGTCATTTAAAGAAAGATTCCAGCTACTGAAACCAAGTTCAAGAATCCTCTACAAAGAGAAGTTGGTGTTCAGAGACTTTCTTGGTGGTTCAGTGGTTAAGACTTGACACTTCCACTGCATGGGGTACAGATCTGATCCCTGATCAGGGATCCCATATGCTGCGTGGCACAGCCAAAAGAAAAAAAGAGAGACAGAGAGAAGTTGGTGCTCAGCCTGTGATCTCCTGCATTCATCCATCAAACATGCTCTGTGCCCCATGTAACAGGATCCACTTAGGGTTTTAAGGGCAGAGATATGAGTGAGATGTGATTCTGCCCTCAAGGGACTTTCTGCCTGTGGGGGAAACAGGCGTGGGCAATAGACCAGGTGCTGGGCTGAATAACTGTCCCCAAACATATCCCTTGGATGAACTTTTTAAAAAATATTTATTTATTTGGCTGCACTGGGTCTCAGTTGTGGCATGTGAACCCTTAGTTGTAGTATGTGGGATCTAGGTCCCCAACCAGGGATCGAACCCCAGGCCCCCTGCATTGGGAGATCAGAGTCTTAGCCACTGGACCACCAGAGAAGGCCTAGGGTGAACTTTTTTTTTTAATAAGATTTTAAAGATTTTTTTTATGTGGACCATTTTTAAAAATCTTTATGGAATTTGTCGCAATACTGTTTCTGTTTCATGTTTTGGTCGGCTGCGAGACATGTGGGATCTTAGCTGCCTGACCAGGTCGATCAAACCCACATCTCCCGCATTGGAAGATGAAGTCTCAACCACTGGTCCATCAGGAAAGTCCCCCAGGATGAACTTCTGATGTGATTAAGATAAGCATCTTGAGAAGGGAAGGCCATCCTGGATTATCTGGCTGGACCCTAAGCATGATCACAAGGGTCCCTATAGGAGGGAGGCAGAGGTCGATCTGACACCGAGGAGAAGGCGGTGGGACAGATGTAAAGAGGAGTGGCATCAGAGAGACAAGGCACCATGCCTCTAGCTTTGAAGCTGGAGGAAGGGACCACTAGCCAAGGAATGCAGGCAGCCCTCAGAAGCTGGAAAAGGCAAGGAGAGGAAATGGATTCTCCCCTGGAGCCTCTGGTATGGTGGGGAGCATAGCTCTGCTGACATTGTGATAGTAGCCCAGTGAAACCCAGTTCAGACTTCTGGCCTCCAGAACTGCAGGAGAACCCTGCAGCTCTATTGTTTGAAGCCAGTAAGTTTCTGGTAATTTGTTACAGCAGAAATGGGGAACAAACATAGTCCAGAAATAGACCCAGAGTCTCACAGGTGGCAAACAGCCATATATTATACACACTTAGCTACACAAGAACGCATGCATCTGAGGGCTGAAACCAGTGGGTGAAATTTTCATGAAGGTCTTACACAGTCTGAACTCTCCTCACAAGTCACTCATTACTGCAGAGTCCCCTTATCCACGATTTCCCTTTCTGTGATTTCAGTTACCTGAGGTCAAGTGTGGTCCAAAAACACTGAGTGGAATATTCCATAAAGAAACAATTCATCAGTTTTAAATCACACACCATTCTGTCCAGCTTTGTCCCACCTGGTATGTGAATCATCCCCTTGTCCAGTGCAGCCTGCCAGATGTTGTTCAGTTGCTCAGTCATGTCTTAACTCTTTTGTGACCCCATGGACTGTAGCCCACCAGGCTCCTCTGTCCATGGGATTCTTTGGGCAAAAATATTGGAATGCGTTGCTACTTCCTACTCCAGGAGATCTTCCTGACCCAGGGTTTGAACCCATGTCTCCTGTGTTGGCAGGCAGATTCTTTACCACTGAGCCACCTGGGAAGCCCCATCCTGTGTGATAGCCACTCAGTTGTCTTGATTGACTCTTGAAGTATTGCACTGCCTGTGTTCAAGTAGCCCTTATTTTACTTAATAATGGCCCCAAAGCTAAAGAGTAGTCATGCTGATGCTGGCTACTTGAATATGCCACAAAGAAGCTTGAAGTAAAAAGGTGAAAGTTTTCAACTTAATAAAGAAAGAAGAAAAAAATCATGCTGAGGTTGCTAAGATCTATGGTAAGAATTAATCTTCTAACCGTGAAATTGTGAAGAAAGAAAAAGAAATTCAGGACTTCCCTGGCATCTAGTAGTTAGGACACTTTCACTGCCATGGCCCCGGGTTCAATCCCTGGTCAGGGATTATCTCGCAAGCTGCATGGCACAGCCAAAAGAAAAAAAAAATCAACCTGCAAAAGTTAGTCACAGTGCCTAAGAGCTTAGTTAAGATGCAAGAGGCATTAAATTTGTACAATGAGATTTTTTTGAGAGATGATATTCATAAAAGTTTTATTATAGTATATTGTTATAATATACAATTATTATTTTTAATCTCTTACTGTGCCTAATTTATCAATACAACTTTATCATAGGTACAACTGTTTAGAAGAAATATGGTGTGAAAATTAATAAAGGGGAACCTCATTTAAAGTGAGGCTTCCCTGGCAGTTCAGATGGTAAAGAATCTGTGGGCAATGCAGGAAATGCAGGTTCAATCTCTGGATCAGGAAGATCCCCTGGAGGAGGGAATGGCTACCTACTGCAGTATTCTTGCCTGGAGATTTCCAATACAGAGGAGCCTGACAAGCTACAGTTGCAAAGAACTGGACATAACTTAGCCACTGAACACACATAAAACTGGAAAAGATGTACACTGTATCTCCTTCAAGAAATTAACCACAGCAAGCAACTAGGCCAATGAAAAACCATAATCACCTGGAACTTTCACTTTTCTCCAATGGACTTATGTTAGAAACAACTCTTCCTGAATTCCTTGTTTTGTTTTTTTCTCTATAAAATAAAGCTCCCTCTCTCATTTGTTGAACTTCCCGTGGCTTTTGCTATAACCTTCTTTCCCAGAATTACAATTCTCTGTTATTCTTGAACAAGCCCATTTTGCTGGTAAAATAACTGGTTGTCTTATTCTTTAGTTAACAATGGTATGTAGAGGGTTCAGTACTTTCTGGGATTTCAGCCATCCACTGGGGATCTTGGAGTGTATCCTCCAAGGGGAAGGTGATTACTGTAATTATAAAATGAAGGTAATTTTTAAGCAAGCCAAGTGATCAAGACCAATGTGACCGGTGATGGCCAAGCTGACATCACAGGCTGCTGGTCTGTTAACGACACAGCATCATTCCTAAGGTATTCCTGCCAAAAGCATATGACCTAAATCTAAACACAAGAGAACTTCCAACATGTCTAAACTGAGGGACTGTCTAGAAGTACACGGTGTGTTATTTTCAGGATTGCTGAGATGGATGAAGGTCAAAAAAAGACTGAACGGAGGTTCCGTCTCCAGGTTAACAGAGACTAAACAGATAGGACCACTAATGCAGTGCATGATATGGGATTTTTCTTTTGCCATTTAGGACATTATTAGGACAATTATTGAAGCCTGAGGAAAGCTTGCAGAGCAGCTAATCAGTTGTATTGTATGGATGTTCACTTCCTCGTGTGATCGTGATGCAATGGTTTTGAGGAAACTGAAACTTTGTTTTTAGAAAAAACACAGAGACTTATGGGGGCCGGGGGGCACACAGAGACCCAGAGAGAAGGGGACAGACGCAGAGATAAAGCAGCAGAGACCTAGGGAGAGAGAGGGACACAGAATGGGGATTAGGGTGATGGTGGGATATTAGAGAGGGAAGATAAGACCCAAAGAGGGGAACAGACGCTCAGGATCAGGACAGGCACCGAAGGCGTGACCGTGCAGAGCAGGCTAGGGCTTTGGGGTTGGACATCCCTGGGCGTGAAGGTGATGAGGACCACTCATCAGCACTGGGTTCTGGGAGAAGCCACGGAATCTCCCTGATCTCTTTCTTCACCTGCCAAATGAAGAACTGGTACACTCTCCTTTCTAGGAAATCGCAACATTTCTGCACTCGGATAGACTCCTCGAAAACAGCAGGCGCCCGATTCCTGCGCGCTGAGTGGAAGACAGTCGGCTCTGGGGCCGCCTCGCGAGCGGCAGGAGGGGGCGGGGCGCTGCCCACAGCGCCCTTCCCCTCCCACCCAGGCGGACTCTGGCCCGCCCCCTACGTGGTGCCTGCCTGCTTGGGCCAGCCCACACCCAGCTGCTACCTCTCGGGTCCGCCAGATCCGAACTCACCTGTGCGCCCCCGCGGGTGGTGCACGGCGGCCAGGCCTTCCCGCCCTCCTTCGAGCCCCGGAGAGCGCCTGCGCGGTACCACAATTCCCGGTACTTTAAGCTCGGTTTCGCAAACTGGACCACATTTCCCGGAAACCATTGCGGCTCACGCTTCTCCAGGCCTTGGGTCTCTGAGAGCGCGGGAATGCTGGGAAATGGAGTCCTGAAATAGAATGTCGGGAGAGAGAACAGGTGTAAATAGCTGCTTTGCAGCTCCTGAAAACATGGTATTTGGGAAATGTATGGCTCTACTGGCACAGTGAGTGTTCCTGTTATAGCCAGAGTCTTTCACTGTCCTCCACAGAAGACGACGTCATAGGCAAGTCAACCCATCTAACTGAACTACCTCCTGCTAAGGTAAAAGTCTTCAAGACACCACTGATGGTGAACGAATCGAGGCTGTTACTTAATTGCTCAATTTTCCTGGGCAACCACCTTCCTGTTTGGTTCAGTTTCACTGTAGATGGGGAGAGAAAAAATATCCTCTGCGTTGGGTTGTGAGGTTTGAATAGGTTGAACTAAGTAAGCCAGTGGAATATGTGATGTAGACGGAAAACACCATCTACGTCAAGTTATTAATAGTTCCCATCTCTTGATCTTTGTATTTTCTGTTCCCTTTGTCCACAATATCCTTTCTTTTCTACTTTTGGAAAATTCCTACTTTTCTTGCAGGAAAAGCTCTTACAGCCTCCTGTAGGAAACTTTCCTCTATTTCTATAAGTGAAAGTGGGATCACACTGCTTGCTGCTCAAAAGCCAATAAAGAGACAAGGCTGGTGGAGAAGAAAATACGCTTTATTTTGGATGCTGGCAACTTGGGGGAAACTCTGCATTCAAATGGTTATATCTTTCCTTTTCTCCTTTGCTTTTCGTTAGCTCCCAGTCTTGTTTTTGCTGACTGTATTGAGCTTCTCCATCTTTGGCTGCAAAGAATATAATCAATCTGATTTTGGTGTTGGCCATCTGGTGATGTCCATGTGTAGAGTCTTCTCTTGTGTTGTTGGAAGAGGGTGTTTGCTATGACAAGTGCGTTCTCTTGGCAAAACTCTATTAGCCTTTGCCCTGCTTCATTCTGTACTCCAAGGCCAAATTTGCCTGTTACTCCAGGTGTTTCTTGACTTCCTACTTTTGCATTCCAGTCCCCTGTAATGAAAAGGACATCTTTTTTGGGTGTTAGTTTTTAAAGGTCTTGTAGGTCTTCATAGAACCGTTCAACTTCAGCTTCTTCAACGTTACTGGTCGGGCCATAGACTTGGATTACTGTGATACTGAATGGTTTGCCTTGGAAACGAAGAGAGATCATTCTGTCGTTTTTGAGATTGCATCCAAGTACTGCATTTCGGACTCTTCTGTTGACTTTGATGGCTACTCCATTTCTTCTCAGGGATTCCTGCCCACAGTAGTGGATATAATGGTCATCTGAGTTAAATTCACCCATTTCAGTCCATCTTGGTTCACTGATTCCTAGAATGTTGATGTTCACTCTTGCCATCTCCTGTTTGACCACTTCCAATTTGCTTTGATTCATGGACCTAAAATTCCAGGTTCCTATGCAATATTGCTCTTCATGGCAAATAGATGGGGAAACAGTGGAAACAGTGGCTGACTTTATTTTGAGGGGCTCCAAAATCACTGCAGATGGTAATTGCAGCCATGAAATTAAAAGACACTTACTCCTTGGAAGGAAAGTTATGGCATATTAAAAAGCAGAGACATTACTTTGTCAACAAAGGTCCATCTAGTCAAGGCTAAGTTTTTTCCAGTAGTCATGTATGGATGTGAGAGTTGGACTATAAAGAAAGCTGAGTGCTGAAGAATTGATGCTTTTGAACTGTGGTGTTGGAGAAGACTCTTCAGAGTCCCTTGAACTGCAAGGAGATCCAATCAGTCCATCCTAAAGGAGATCAGTCCTGGGTGTTCATTGGAAAGACTGATGTTGAAGCTGAAACTCCAATACTTTGGCCACCTCATGCGAAGAGCTGACTCATTTGAAAAGATCCTGATGCTGGGAAAGATTGAGGGCAGGAGGAAAAGGGGACAACAGAGGATGAGATGGTTGGGTGGCATCACTGATTCAATGGACATAAGTTTGAGTAAACTCTGGGAGTTGGTGATGGACAGGGAGGTGTGGAGTGCTGCAGTTCATGGGGTCGCAAAGAGTTGGACACAACTGAGCAATTGAACTGAACTGAACTTGGGGGGATGGCGGACACCCCCACACACAACCAGTGGACAAAGCTTTTATAGGCTGAGAGAGGGGACTACATGCAGACACAGCACAGTTAGCTCTGATAGTCATCTTGAAGTTGGTCATCGGTGGGCTGACTAGAGGCATCTTGATTATTTTAAGTACAACTAATCTTCAGATCCAAGATCAATTTGTTCTTATTTCCTTGAGGCCAATTCTCAGAACAGTGGCAGTTTATGTCACAGCTACAGTCTGGCCATCATGTATATAAATTCTTCCACGTGATAGGGGTAGTATTTAAATATCTACAAGACAGCTCATAGGATGTGGCTCAGACTATTAGCTATAACCCCTGAGAAGGAACTAAAGTTCCTTAACCATGTTTAAATACTAAACTCTTATTTAGTCTTGTTGGATTATTTTGTTTTTTTCTTCTGCATTTTCTCATTTTTCTGATGATGCTTATTCTTTAGTTGAAGTTTTAGCACAGGAAAAAAAAAAAAAGGCTGGCTGAGGACATGGGGGGAAGGACCATGGAGTCCTACTCCATTTCATTGCCATTTGGCCTAGCCAGAATTGGCAACTCCCACCCTTGGGTTCCCACCACCTTGATAGTATAATAATTGCTGTATTGTAGTTATTAGGTAACTATCTGTCTCTCCCACCCCAGACTGAGCTCTCCTGGAGCTCTCATCACACTATAATTTTTTTATCACACTATAATTTATGAACAGTTTAAGTACCCATCTATTGTGCATTACTCCAAGGAAATTCCCAGGAAAATAGGCAGTGGCTGGACCTGTAGTGTGAAGATATTTCTAAAAACCAAAAAAACACTACTACCCAAGCAAAAAGCATCTTGAAGCCACCAGCTTAGGCTCTCTTCATCCCCCCAAGCTAAAACCTTTCCCAGGGTAGGCATTGGTCTGCCCACCAGCTTAAGAAGTGAGCATCTCCGAAGGGGCTGCAATACCCCCAAACACAGGCCAGTGGTGCAGGTGAAGGGGACGGCGAGCACATCAGGAGCGACGTGGCCTCCTGAGAAGTACGCCTACACTTGGAGAGGCTGGAAACAACTCTAAAATCCTCTCAATTGGAGATGGTTCTGTTTCAGAGGTCACCTCCTCTGTTATCTCTCTTCAAGACCGCCCCAAAGTGAGCTCTAGTGTGCAGGTATTAAAATTGGTATCTTGGCAACAAGTAAGATAGGTATCAGGTAACAGGCAAGCTTTTGACCTTTATGGTTGCACCACAGTGCTTCTCCTTTCAGATGCATTCCCCCCCCCCCCCAAAAAAAAGTAGGAATGCTTGCCCCCTTCAAGTCCTCATCGTAGGTTATCGATCACTCTTGAAAGTCTAAATAACTTCTACTTTGAATTAGGGTAATTGGAATTGACAGATGAGTGAGACATGGTCCCAACCCTTGAGAAGCACTCAGTCAGGGGAGCAGAGCTGGACACCAGCTGAGGCAGAGTCCTCCAGATACTGATGGAGACATTGAGGAATTTGTCACAGACTTTAATAAACTTCTTTTCCTTTCCCCTTACAGACCTCAAAACCAGCACCCTACTGAAGCAGGAGTTTTCGGTTTCGCCTGTATGTAATAGCCCTGGTCAGAGAGAAAAAGCCCACCGGTTAGAAAAAGAACTTCAGACCCCCACCAGGTCTACCGACCACCCAAAACCGTCCCTCCAATCATCGGCTTTATTTGGCTCAGCCAGTGACATCATGAGTCTCCGGGCAGATTTCCAGGGTTCTCAGCCAATCAGTTAACACGAGGAGGGAGGAGAGAAACGTTGGGACTGGGAGAGAGGGTATGAAACTTGGAAACAGAAAGAAGGGAAAAAGACAGCAGGCTCTGGATTGAGGACCCAGGAAAGACACAATGGGGCCCAGGGGTGGGGGAGGAAGCAGAGAGGAGAGAGAGAGATGGTCAGAGAGATATGAAAGAAAGGACAAAGAGATAGTGAGGGGGAGGAGAGACAGAGGCATAAAGTGACTGCGGAGAGATTCCCAAATGAGTGACTGATCCAGGGCAGTGCCTTTCCTTGAGGGGCCCAGTGGGGGCGTTTGGCGACCTCAGGAGAGGGCAGGGATGACTCACGAAGCCACGATGACACCGAAGGCCAAGACAGCCAGACACACGGAAATGATGCTGCCAGTCAGGCCAGGATTCCATTGGAATTCATTTTTCTTATGATACTGCAGGTCCATGCGGGGTTGCCCGTCGACTGGGGTGGAGGGGCGGGCGGTGGGGAGGGAGGGGAAACAGCCCGACCTCCAAGTCATCACCCTTCCTTGGGCATGCACCCACACCCACCTGCTCACTCGGCAACCTGGCCAGGGTCGGGCCTCTCTCTCACTTCTCCCCGCTTGGTCCCTGCCCTTTCCTGGGTCTGACTTTTTCATTCATCCATTCCTCATATTCTGTGTCCCAGGCATCGTTCTAGGCTTTTGGGACACTGCTGGGAATTCCTTTGGCAAACATCCTTGCCCTCATGGAGCAGTCAACATAGCACAGCACATTGACAGTGAAGAGCCCAGCACCAAATGCACCTCATTGGATGGGGGGTAGGGGTGGCGGAGAGGACTTGGTGAAAATGCTAGTCCCTCAGTTCTGACTCTTTGCAACCCCATGGACTGTAGCCTGCCAGTTTCCTCTGTCCACAGAATTCTCCAGGCAAGAATACTGGAGTGGGTTGCCATTCCCTTCTTCAGGGGATCTTCTTGACCCAGGGATCAAACCAGGTCTCCTGCACTGCAGGCAGATTCTTTACCATCTGAGCCACCAGGGAAGCCCACATCTCACAGGGAAGTGATTCTTTAGTGTGTGATCAGGGAGCTCTCTCTGAGGAGGGGAATTCTGAGACTTTATTGAAGTAAGGAAGAGAGAGGAAAGTGAGAGAGAGAGTGGGAACAGCATGTGAAAAGGTTGAACATGACTATTCATTCTTGATGGATTTATAGCAGTTCACTGTATCATGCTTTGTACTATAAAGATACATATTTTTAAAGCCTCTGAATGAGTGAATTCAGCACATCCTGTCATAGTCCCCAAGTATGGCACTGGCTATAAATAAAATGCTTTTCAAGTACCTGCCATTTTGGCCTTAGAAGCATTGTAAAGTTACAGAGGAGGAATTAGTAGGAGGAAAGTGAATTTCAGAACATGGAAGCAACTTCTGGGCCATACAGTAATCAGATGGCAAGGGAAGTGTTCAAGGTTGTATGTGGGAGACCTCAAAAGCCATATTCAGGAGTTCTCTCATGGTCGGGTGGCTAAGACTCTGCCCGAACTCCCAATACAGGGGGCCATGTGTTCCATCCCTGATCAGTGAATTAGATCCCACATGCTGCAGCTAAGACCTGGTACAGCCAAACAAATAAATACACAGACATCTCTTTAAAAAGCCATATTCACTGGGATGTGGTTGACTTCACCTCTCATGCACCTGTCCCATGCCTTCCCCTACCCTAGGAGCTTACTGAAACAGTACTTTTCTCTGATGCATTTGGGACTGGTCATCTGACAATGTAAACAATCCAGGACTTCTTCTTTAAGCAAGCCTGAGCAAGAGGAAAGGGAGAAGTGGGATAAGGGGAGATATCAGAGGACTGGCAAAGGGCAGGAAGGCAGAAGGGGAAAGAAGAGAGGGAGTCCCTTGGCCTTCCTGAATTTGGAGGTCCCATTTTGCTCAATGCACTGATGAGTCACATTAAAAATAATAAGTACATAATTACTGAAGAGTGGAACTCAGTTGTGTAGTTGACTTAACATTCAGTTGGTAGACATGTGATTATGTTAAATTGATTTTAAATTAAATGTCTACCAAAAGAATGTGTGTACTCTATTCCTATTCTGCTGCCCCTGGAGGCACAGACTGGCTGCCTGCTAACTCCTGTGCCTTCCCCGCTTCCTGACACACAGGAAGACTACATTTCCCAAGCTCCTTTGCAGTAGTTTGCACCCATGTGACTGAGTTCTGGCCAATGGAAAGTAGGCAGAGGGATGTATGTCACTCCCAGACCTACTTATAAAAGGCCCTGCGGGATTCTCTATTTATTCTCCCTTGGGGATTCTCTATTCATTCTCCCTTCTGAAGCTAGCTTAGCAGCCATGACATAGGTGCAGCCTGGATCCTTGAGCCACTTGGAAGATCTGTTCAACTCTCAATGGAATTTTGGCAAAAGAGAAATAAACCTTTTCTGTTAAACCACTGAAATGTAGGGGTTTATTTTTCACTACATCATAGCCTATCCTAGCCTAAAATCTCCCCTATAAATCCTTTTTTGAAGGTTGCAATGACTTTCATAAGCCCTCAAAAATCAGATATCCCTTGGTGCCATATCTTTGGGGTGGAGGAAACACCAGATGGAGTAGGTGTGATAGGAGGGCTTGATTTGGGGGGGACAAGGTCAAAAGGGGGTAAAGTGAAGTGAAAGTTGCTCAGTCATGTCTGACTCTTTGTGACCCAATGGACTGTACAGTCCATGGAATTCTCCAGGCCAGAATATTGAAGTGGGTAGCCTTTCCCTTCTCCAGGGGATCTTCCCAACCCAGGGATCGAACCCAGGTCTCCCACATTGCAGGCGGATTCTTTACCACCTGAGCCACAAGGGAAGCCCAAAAGGGCAGGAGGGTAGCAAAGGGAAGAACAGACAATAAACCCAGGACTTACGGCAAATTTTGGGATCGCAGGCTGCAAGAGAAAAGAACAGAGGTGACTTAGATTGGGCCAGCAATTTAAGAATTTAATGGGAAAGGACTGGGAGAGGGAGGAAGGAGTGAGATTGGAAAAGGAGAGAAGGGAATTTGGGGGAGGCAGAGAAGGCTGAGTCATAGGAGAGGTAAGAGAGGAGTTTGGAAGACAAGGTGGGAGAAGGGAATCAAGTGGTGATGAGGAAGGGGAGAAAGGGGCTTAGTGGAGAGAGATGCCACACCTTTTAATTCATATGATCTTAACACTTTCTTGAGTTCCTTGATTACCCTCTCCCTAAGAGTCACCAGCTCATCCAGCAGAGGCTCATCTGAGGAAGGAAACAGATCCTTATTTGGTGGGAGGCACTCAGCAAGCCGCCCCACCTGCAGCTTCAAAGAGAGGGGGTGATGGGAATTCCCTGCTGGTCCATTGGTTAGAACTCTGAACTTTCAGTGCTGAGGGCAGGATTATCCCCAGTTGAGATGCAGACAAAACAAACATTTAAAAGAAGAGAGGAGGGATGAGGACACTCCTTTTCTAAGCAAGACTGTCTGTTCCTGTGGATCCACTGGGAAAATCTATGGCCTGGAGGACCTACATCTACCTTCTGATCCGCTGCAGGGACCCAGGCTAAACCATCCTCCCTTGGCCTCAGTTTCCTCATCTGGTAAGTAATAGAAGGGTGGACTCGAGCACCTCTCCTCTCCTTTTCCCTGACCTGCTCTTCTTTTTTCTTCTATTCTGTCTACACTCACACCTTCACGATTTCATCCAGCTGAATAGCTTTGTATATTACCTGGACATGCACTGTCAAATATGGCAGTCACTAGACACACATGAGGATTGAGCACTTGAAATGGGCTAGCCTGAATTGAGAGACGTCGTTAGTATAAAATGTATGCTGGATTTCAAAGACATGGTATGAAAAAAATAACTGTACAATGTTTCAATAGTTTTTGTGTTGATCTCATGTTCAGATGGTAACATTTTAGGTATTAGGTTAAATAAAATCTATTAAAGTTTATTTTACTGGCTTCTGTTTACCTTTTTCAAAGATGTGGCTACCAGAAGTTTTTAAATTACCTGTGTGACTATTTTGCCTCACATATCTCCATTGGACAGCACTGTTCTATATACACTGATGCCTCCTGAGCTGGTGTCACTAACCTACACCACTTGCTGATATCGAGGGTTATATATCTAACTACCCACTCAGGATCTCCACCTTCAATGTTTAACAGGCATCTTAAACTCAATGAGTCTAAGACTGAACCTTGATATCCTCCTCCAAACCCACTTCCAACTCCATCTGTGAAGACAAAGTCTTTTCCATTTTCATTGAGGGAACCATCATGTTTGTAGTTACCCAAGCCAAAATCCTTGGTGCTTTGACTCTTTTTTCTTACATTTCACATGCAATTTGTCAACATGCATTTGAGCAAACCCTGTCTGTGAATATTCGAGAGAGGTCCAGAAATCCAACATTTCTCACCTCCTCCAATGCTGCCATCCTGGTGCCAGCCATCATCGTCTCTTGCCTGGGCCATTGATTGCTACAACCTTCTCACTGGTCCCCCAGCCTTCCCTATTGCCCTACTAAATCTGTTCTCTGCAGACAGAGGGACCCATTAAAAGCTCAGGCAGTTCACTAGCATCACGGTTCTGCTCAGTATCCTCCTATGTGACCCAGAGTAGAAGTCAAAAGTCCTTATTATTATCAGTCCCTACCAATTAATGGGTACCAATCTATGCATGCCCACCCCGTTACCTCTAGAAGCTCATCTTCTACAGTTCTGCCTTGCTCTCTCTTCTCTCCACTCCAGCCTCCCTGGCCTCCTTGAGGTTCTATGAATATGCCAATCATTGACCCATCCCAGGTATTACAGTGGTTGTCCTTTCTGCCTTCAGCCTTCTACCCTAGACTTCTACCCCTTCATAGTTGCTTCCCCCTCTCCTCCTTGTCTTTTCTCATATGCTGATCTTTCAGCGACAACTTTCTTGGCTGCCCAATTTTTTAAAAAACCATCCTTTTATGTATTTTTTTTTAATTTTATTTTTGGCTGCACCATGCTGCATGTGAGATCTTTAGTTCTCAGACCAGGGATTGAACCCATGCCCCCTGCAGAGGAAGTGCAGAGCCTTAACCACTGGACCACCAGGGAAGTCCCCTGGCTGCCCTGTTTTTACCTGCAAGCCCCGCCCCTATTCCCAGCACTCCCTATCCCCTGGTCCCTGGGTTATTCTTTTCTCCGTGGCATTTGTCCCCATTTGACATACTGTATAGTGAAGGGTTAACTCAGGAGGCCCGAGTTCTTCAAATGTGCACATTCCACAAAAGCTTTGGCTCTCATCTGACTGCCTACCTCCTGGGAGGTAACCTCTAAGTCCTTTGGAATATCCTGCTTGTCAAGTGTGTCTTTCTTTACTTGGGAACCTTGGGCCACACCATATAGTCTGTGCTAACGATGTGATTCATGGTGGTGGCGGTGGGCCACAAGGCAGCAGGTTGATCTCTGGGGGAGCTGGAGACAGAATAACTAAGATCAGCCACTTGGGTGTTCCATGCCTATATAGCCAACTTCCAATAATATTAGTTGGTAGAATCATTGACCCAGGCTCTTCAAAGATGCCATTGTCATAAAAGACAGCTGAATCAGAACAGTTCAGGATTGAAAGAAAACTAGCGATGAATGGCATGATTGAGACAATTGGGAACATTTGAATGAAGATTAATTATTAGATGATAGTATGGAATTGTAATATAAATCTGTATACACTGTAATATAAATTCCAAGTTACATTCATTGTGCAAGAGAATGTCCTTCTTTGTTTTTAGGAGATTGCCTGCTGAAGAATTTAGAGTTGAAGTGTCACTAACTCTGAAATGGTTACACACACACACACACACACACACACACACACACACACACACACACACACACACACACACACAGACCAAATGTGGCAATAGGTTACCATGTAATGAAATGTTAAGAATGGTTATTTCCCTGGTGGCTCAGACAGTAAAGTGTCTGCCTACAATGCGGGAGACCCAGGTTCGATCCCTGGGTCGAGAAGATCCTCTGGAGAAGGGAATGGCAACCCACTCCAGTAATCTTGCCTGGAAAATCCCATGGACAGAGGAGCCTGATAGGCTCCAGTCCACGGGATCCCAAAGAGTTGGACACAAATGAATGACTTTACTTTCACTTTCCAGTGGCTAAGACATCCTGCTCCCAAAGCAGGGGGCCCTGGTTTGATCCCTGGTTGGGGAACTGGATTCCACATGCTGCAACTAAGACGTGGCACAGCCAAATAAAAATATTAAAAAGAATGGTGTGTAGGTGCTTATTGTATTATTCATGCAACTTTTCTATCAGAATTTCTTCCAAATATAAAAATCATTTTTTTAAGAGGTGAGAGCTTTAAAAATGACTATGTTTAGGCCCCCTCTCCTATATTCTGATTTAATTGGCAGGGGCTGCTGCCTGGGCTCCTAGACTGTTTTAAAACTTTCCCAGGGGATTCCAGCCTACAGCCTGAGTTGAGACCTGCAGCTATAAGCTTTTTTGTGAAGGTCCGTCCAGACAGTCAATATTTTCAGCGTTAAGGGTCATTGTCCCTACTCAGCTCTGCCTTGCTGATTAGGAGCAACAGAAACAATACATACATAAATGGGTGTGGCTGTGTTCCAATACAACTTTATTTGCAAAAAAAAACCAAAAAACAAAAAAACGGGGCTGGCATGTCGCCTAACCGCTCTGAGCCTCAGTCTTCCCCTCCGTAAAGGGCAGATCACAACAACGCCCACCTTGATGAACTGTCCTAGGCTTTTCTAGAACTCGGTCAGACACACAGTAAAGGCTATACGTGCGAATGCTTTTATTTTTATATGAAGAGAAGGCCTAGTGGACCGGTGGAAAGGGAGGAGGGGCAAGGGAGCTGGGAAAAGGTTTTCCCTCTTAGCTCCTACCTCTCAGAGAATTAGCCATTAAGTTGCTTGTTTGATTCTTGACAAAGGACGCCACTAGGTCCAGATGGTCTTTCCCTGAGGACGAGAGGGGAGGAAATTCCCGTGGGTCCCTGGGAAAGCCAAGGGATGACGACTCCATCTCCCTTCGGGCCTGGCCCCGCCCTCCCCCTCTCGAGGGCGTGGCCTCCCCGCCCAGCCTCCGGCTAGCCCACTGGGCCCTTTCGCCAAGGTCCAGGGCCCTCTCCCCGCCCCAGCACGCACCCACTCTGCCCACAAAGGCGTTCAGCGCGTAGTCCCGGAAGAAAGGCCCTTCCATGCCCCGCAGCACGACCTGAGCGCGGGTCTGCAGCTGCCCTTGTTGGAACCGGCTGGGGATGAGGGCGAGGCGCAGCTGCTTCAGGGCCTCCCGCACCGAGTGGTCACACTGCAGGCAGCCCCAGTCTCGGCGGGCGCTCAGGCCCAGGAGCAGCACAAGGGCCCAGGCCAGAGGCATGGCGGGGCCTTTGTGATGTCACAGAGGGCACCCCGGTCGGCCCCGCCCCTCAGGCAGAGGCGGGGTCAGGGAGGCCCAGGGGAGTGCGCGCTGGGGCGGGTTGGCTGAGCACCTACTGTGTGCCAGGCATGGAACTGGAGCTAAGGAGACAGTCTTCAAAACCCAGAAGTCTCTGCCCTGCCCTCTTGGATCTAACATTCATTCTTTTAACTTATGTGTACTGAGCACCTACTATGTGCCAGACGCTTCTCCAGAAACTAGGGTTAGAGCTGAGAAAAGCAGGAGATCCTTGCTCTCTTCAGCACTTACATTCTTTAATTCAACAGATATTTATTGAACACCTACTATGTGCCCGGCCCAGTTCTAGGCGCCTGATGGAGCTCAGAGGCAAACAGAGATAGTCTCTACTCACATAGTTTACGGTTAAAGGAATGTCAGTGGAAAGCCCACTCTGTACTGGGCACTGGAGACAGACTGAAGGAGATGGACACAGTTCCTGTTTATGGGGTTCCTTCTAGCAGAGGTGGAAGGAGGTGCTGCCGGAAAAAGAAATGTAAAACCTAGTAAACAGATTAGTAAATGAGATCATGACACAGCATTAAGTGCTGAGAAGCAAATAAACCTTGTGATATATGATGAGGTCCTGGTATGCTAGTGCCCCGAGGTCAGGGTTGTGTTCACTGCTCTTTTCTAATGTCTGACATGCCCTAGGTGCTCCATAAATATTTAACAAATTCAGTGACTCCACAGAAGAGGAAAATGTACTTTGTTTTTGCCCTGGTTTTTTTTTTTTTTTAAATCTTCAAACCTAGAGAAAATTTGCAGGAGCAGTACAATAAATACTTGAATATACCTTATTAACACTCACTTCCACTGTATCTCTCTCTCTCCAAAATGAAGTAGGGCAAAGGCTAACAGTTTTGCAAACTTTAAGAGGGTCATAGCAAAAAAAAAAAAAAAAAAGAGGGTCATAGCAAACACCCTCTTCCAACAACACAAAAGACAACTCTACACATGGACATTACCAGATAGTCAATACTGAAATCAGACTAATTATATTCTTTGCAGCCGAAGATGGAGAAACTTTATACAGTCAGCAAAAACAAGACTGGGAGCTGACTGTGGCTCAGATCATGAACTCCTTATTGCCAAATTCTGACTTAAATTGAAGAAAGTAGGGAAAACCACTAGACCATTCAGGTATGACCTAAATCAAACCCCTTATGATTATACAGTGGAAGTGACAAATAGATTCAAGGGATTACATATGATAGAGTGCCTGAAGAACTACAAATGTTCATGACATTGTACAGGAGGCAGTGATCAAGATCATCTCCAAGAAAAAGAAATGCAAAAAGGCAAAATGGTTGTCTGAGGAGGCCTTACAAATAGCTGAGAAAAGAAGAGGCGCTAAAGGCAAAGGAGAAAAGGAAAGATATACCCATCTGAATGCAGAGTCCCAAAGAACAGCAAGGAGAGATAAGAAAGCCTTCCTCAGTGATCAATGCAAAGAAATAGAGGAAAACAATAGGATAGGAAAGGCTAGAGATCTCTTCAAGAAAATAAAACATATAGAGATTAATTAAATGTTAGTTTCAGTTAAAAATGGACAAAGGATTTGAATAGATATTTCCCCAAAGAAGATCTAAGAATGGCAAATTAGCACTTGAAAAGATGCTCAGCATCACTGAGCATTAGGAGAATGCAAATCAGAACCACAGTGAGAGGACCTTCCTGGTGGTGCAGTGGATTAGAGTCCTCCTGCCAATGCAGGGGACACGGGTTCGATCCCTGGTCCAGGAAGATCCCATGTGCCAAGGAGCAGCTAAGCTTGTGCACCATAGCTGCTGAGCCGGTGCTCTAGAGCCTGTGAACTGCAACTGCTGCGCCCACATGTGGCAGCTACTGAAGCCCCCTGGAGCCTGTGCTCGGCAACAAGAGACGCCACAATGAGAAGCCCAGGTACCATAGCTACAGAGTAGCCCCCGCTCTCCAGAACTAAAGAAAGCCAGAGGACAGCAGCGAAGACCTAGCACAGCCAAAAATAAATAAAGAAGTTATCAAAAAATTTAAAAAAAGCACAATGAGCTACCACCTCACACCAATTAAGATGGCTCACATCTAAAAAACAGAAAATGACAAGTGTTGGTAAAGATGTGGAGAAATGGAACCCTTGTACACTGTCATTGGGAATGTAAAATGGCACCCCTGCGATGGAAAACAGTATGGATGTTTCTCAAATAATTAAAAGTAAAATTACTATATGACCCAGCAATTCGACTTCTGTATTTATCCAAAAGAATTGAAAGCAGAGACTGAAAAAGATCTTTGTACACTCATCTTCATAGCACCATCAGTTACAAAAACTGAAATATGGAAGCAATCCATCGACTAACAAATGGGTAAAAAAAACGTGGTGTACACAAGCAGTGGGATGTTATTTAGGCAAAAAGGAAGGAAATTCTGACATATGTGACAGCATGGGAAAACCTTGCTGGTCACTATGCTGAGTGGAATAAAGCCAGTCACAAGAGACACATACTGCATAATTCTGCTTGTACAAGGTACCTAAAATACCTAAAGTAAATTCACACTCAGGATATTTAATATTGGTTTGATTGGTTTAGCCATATTTGGACTTTCCTAAACGCCTCCTGATTCTTTGCTGCTTCACCTCCTCTGAGAAGCCCCCCCACATTACTCCTCCCTGTCTCCCTCTGTTATCCTCTATTTTGGGGATCAGCCTACACCCTGAAAGGCCCAGGTTGTTAATATTTTAGGATTGGTGATCCATAGTTCTCTTGCTACTGTAATACGAAAGCAGCTACAGACAATATAGAAATGATGTGGCTGTGTCCTAATAAAACTTTATTTATAGACACTGAAATTTGAATTGCATGTTTTCACATGTCACAAAATATTATTCCGACTTTTTTTTAACCTTTCAGTTCAGTTCAGTCGCTCAGTCGTGTCCGACTCTTTGTGACCCCATGGACTGCAGCACACCAGGCCTCCCTGTCCATCACCAGCTCCCAGAGTTTACTCAAACTCATGTCCATTGAGTCAGTGATGCTATCCAACCATCTCATCCTCTGTCTCCCCTTTCTCCTCCTGCCTTCAGTCTTTCCCAGCATCAGGCTTTTTTCAAATGAATCAGCTCTTCGCATGAGGTGGCCAAAGTATTGGAGTTTCAGCTTCAACATCAATCCTTCCAATTAATATTCAGGACTGATATCTTTTAGGATGGACTAGTTGGATCTCCTTGCAGTCCAAGGGACTCTCAAGAGTCTTCTCCAACACCCACAGTTCAAAAGCATCGATTCTTTGGCACTCAGCTTTCTTTATAGTCCAGTTCTCACATCCATACATGACTAACCTTTAGATATGTAAAAACTATTTTTAGCTGAAGAGTCGAGGTGGTTTGCCATTAACTCTAACTCATTATCCTGTTAGTTTCTGCCATAACATTAATTATAATTTATAATTATTTTTCTTTCTTTTATATCATCTGATAAGCCCCTTGAGGCCAAGAACCATGTGTATCTTCTTCACCAGCATGTCCCCAACCCCTAGGAGGGAACCTGTAATCTATTCAAACTTAGATTAAAAAAAAAAAGGAACCTCAATTCAGTTATCGAAACCCTTTAAATGTTTGTTTGGAAAAAACATTTAAGTATGGGAATCTACCTCTTCAACTGTAAATGTAATGAAATCTAAATAGAGCTCAAGTGTTTTTAATGAAACAATTAGTGTCTACATTGATCTGGGCTGTCCTGAGAACATTTTAAAGGCTTAGTACAATAATAGGTAAACTACTTCAATAATTTGTATATTGGTTGCAAGTTGAAGTGATAATATTTTGGATCTATTGAGTTAAAGAAAACACTATAATTAGTGTCACCTATTTCTTTTTACCTTTTATTTTGGCCAGCAGAAAGTTTGAAATCACATGTGGGGCTTGAATCATGTTTGAATTAGACATTGCTGGTCTAGCACATAGATGGTGCCAATAGGTATCATTTGAATTGAATTAGATATGATTCTAATTCTAATTGAATTAGCTGGGGTTAATGGGAAGAATTCTCCAAGCCAGGCTTCAGCAATACATGTGTGGGGCTGCCGGGGCTAGCAGGCGGCCGGGACCTGGGTTTTGGTTTCCTGTGAAATGGTGGGATTCCCCGCCCCCATCAGGTAACCTGGAGCCAGCCAATCAATATGCGCCCAGTAAGAAACAAAGGGAGAGCTAAAAAGCTCGCGGATGCCTAAGTTTAAACAAAAGCCCGTGAAAGTTTGTACCAATAAAATTGCTTTGCAAACATGTAACCAATCCGCTTAAGCCAGCTACTAACCGCTTATGCATACCTTATAAATTTGGGTAACCGCCTCTGCTCAGGGCTTTTCTGACCTTGCACCACTGTGTTGGTTGCAGCAGAAAGCCCTGACTCGAGTCAGTAATAAAACTTCCCTTTTGGTAAATTGCATTGTCTTGGAACTTCTCTCTTCCCGCTCTGGGATTCGGACATCGGGCAGAACATTTGGGGGCTCGTCCGGGATCCCTTGACTGGGGAAAGAGAACACTTCCAGGACAGAGGGGAAGGATAGATAAAAACACCGGTGCTCAGGCAGACAGGAAAGTCCAGTGTAAATCCGAGGCCCTGCTGGGAAGCAGGAAGGTATCTGGTGCAGAAGAAAGATTTCTATAAAGGGGCCAGCCGGTGTAAGGCCGAGGCCAGCGGACGCGCTGGGAGGCAGCCGATTCTGCGGGAAAGAAAGTTACCCCAAGTCTGGGGAACAGTGGACGCCATTCGGTAAGGTGAACCTGCTACCTGGAGGCAAGAATATTCAGGGGGCCCGAAACCCAGCGCTATGTTATCGGCCGACGTTTGTCTGTCTGTGTGTCTGCCTTCGGCTCTCCATGTTTGTGTATGCCGGCATTGTCTCTGGTCCTCCTCCTTTTGAAATCTTTAAAAATGTTATTCATTTAAATTTTATATTGTAAT